GTAATTGTTCAGGGGGGGGGGGGGACCCCCCATCATTAAAAGGGGTGCCACATTACTTGAACTGGACCCTTACCATCTCCAAATCAAATCCTGTATACTTACTGCTTTGCCGACACGCCTAGGAACCCCAAGTCTGGTCGGAAGCGCCTCAGTCGGCGGAGGGCGCTTCTCTCCGTTCGCCTGGCCGAGCAGCAAGACTTCTCTGTGCCTAAAACTCTTTCGAGCCATATGTGAGCCATGCGTCATGAGGCATTCATGGGCTATGCCAGGAATGTTTTTTGTGGCCCACGTGAGGTTGCAGAATCCTGAATGCAGACTGGAGGACACGTAGAATTAGCCAACTGAAGCCCCCTTGGTTGATCACCTGAACTCTAAGGTTGAAGCTTTGGCCTGCTCGCAGTGACCCAGGGGCCCTTTGAGGGATCATCATCACTGAGATAAGCTCTTGCGAGCCCTTCTGAGTCCTACAAGATGCGATATGTTATCCGGATCCTGAGCACATCAACATCTCGGTAGGCTCCAAAGCTCTAATCACTATGCGCCCTGAACCTTCTACCCCTGCATCAGCTCCAATCCCTGAACCCCCAAAACCGGCTTGCTGCGCCCTGATCTGAAGTTGAACTAGGACCTCCAAGTTCAGCTCTTAGAGAACAAAGCGCCTTGGCTGGTGCTTCGTAGTGACTGACGGAACGGATCCCTATTGTAGTCCCTGTAGAACTCATAGTCCCTATTCCATTTCCCATTGCCTACTAGGCACAAAGCAGACGAAGAGTGCTCTTGGCGCTCAAACCTAGCCGAAAGGACCCCTGCCTTTGCCTGAAAAGACGTTGCATCACTGGGGTTTGGGGTTTATAGGGATTAGGGGTGGGTCCACGACATGCAACAAACCAAACCTTGTACTAACGGTACCGCCAGATGTCTTCCAACAACCGCAGGCAACCAGATGTCTTCCAACAACCACAAGCATCGGCTTTGAAAGGTCTCTGTGCCTCCCCAAACTCATGCACCACTAACCGCCAACTAGTTCTGCGCTTCACGTACAACACTCACATACTTGGGTAGCAGTAGTGGCTAAAGCAGCACCGGCCTCTGCACGGGTGCAAGGTAACATGCTCAGAGAGCTGATCACTCCGAATCAAGCTGCCAATCATCTTAAGGTCTTAAGGTATAGTCATAGTTGGCATAACCTGGAGCATCAGGGCAACGGAAACAAACCTGGCAACTACTAAGGGCTTTGCTTGACTAGGAAAGCCCGTGAAGGCCCCATATGCCCCGGCTGACTCCTCCCGGCCTCAGGTGCCACCTGAACCACGGGGAGAGTTGAGGTTTTGTTTGGGGGCTCTGGGGCTGCGTGGGCATTCATTCAGGACTTCTGCTTGAGGGTTAAAAGTCTATGAGTATTCTGTGCTAGGCTATTGCAACCAGCTGGAGGATCTGTAAGTCAGTTCATTTTGCATGAGTTAACAGCATCCTGCAAACATGTCTGCATGCCCCTTGTCTCCTTGATGTTGCCACGCTGTAAGACAGTTGGAGCTTAGTTACGGAGTTTCGGTCTCTCCGTCGAAGCTGGGTGACATGTAGGGGAGCTTCCGCTAATGTGTGTATTAGCAACATGCGATGCAGGTTTGGAGCTAAGTTTGGAGACATGTCGTTCACGTGTGCGTACAGGCTTTGCGGACTGTTCTTGGCAATGTAATCATCTAGCGTTACAAGCCCTACAGTAGGAACCCTGAACAATCCACAGGGAGACGCCCAAGCGTAACATGTCTTGGACTGAAGACATAAGCCTGGAAAGCCAATGTATTCCACTTCGACTATATGCTCCTTCTTTCCGCAAGTGTCAGAACCTTGCGTCACATCAAACAAAACGCCCAGGACTGTCGCTGCTTTGCAGTAAGGCAGGGGAACAAAAGGGTTTGTCTTTGACCACAAACCCTACACCTTGCCCCCAGATCCCATAAGCACCCTGACCTACAAAGACCCCACAAAACGCAGCAGAAGGGGCCTCCATGTCAGCAGTTTCACCAGGACTGGGCGCTGCAAACACCGCAGGGACCGCGGTGGCGCCTTCGGCTTTCAGCGCCTCAGCGCTATCAAAGTTTGGGCTGTGGTGTAAGGCTTGGGGTCGCGGGAATGGGGATGAAGTCCACGGCTGAACTGCAAAAATATCCAGGGCTGAAGGTCCATAAGGTTCAGGCTTCAGAAGAAAACATTTGGCAAATGGACAGCAGTCATTCCTACAAGAGCCTTGTCAACATTGGACCACCCAGCCATGAACAACACTTCCTCTTCGCTGTTCTGCACTTAGCTCTGGGAAGGTGGGCCTCAGAGTCCGGGGCTCTTCACGACCGTCATACGGGGCTTCGTCAAAAAGGATACCCTCAGGGTCCCTGGGCATCTAGGAATCATCGAAATGAGGATTATAGGGCTTCCTCTACGAATCACCAATGGGTATTCGAATGGAGAAGCTTCCCATGTCACTGGCAACTATGAGAACCCCAGAGAACACTAACTTGGAGTAGTAATCACATGGAATGACAAATTTCCTGGGAAGTTTCCCAAAAATAGGGGGATTCCTTTCTGAGGGTCCCCATAATAAGGAATATAACCCTGGGGTACCAGGTACCAAAGGGGGGACTTAATTTTGGGAAGCTACCATTGTACCGGCAGCTACAGCTTGCCTGGATCTTCGCCACAAGGTCCCGGGTGTTTGTGAAGGTCTCACCTCCACCAGCGGAGTTGGGGCTAGGCTTCACGGAGCAAGGGTCAAAGGCCAGAGTCGCGAAACTGAGGGTAGGCTGTGAGGAGAAGACGCTTTCGGGTTTGAGAAGGCACGCACGGGCATGAACTTGGACTAAGGCAGGGGCTTGCGGTTTTTGAACTAAGCATAAACCATACAGTTCTTGAGTGAATTCATGAGTACTACCAGTTGGGCTCTGAAGCCTTGAGCTCAAGGAGTCCTCCTGGCGGCAGAATTCTAGGAATGGTGGCTTTGCGGGCCATTGGCTTGGCAGTTGAGGCATCGTCATAGCCAAGGCTCTAGGTGCTAACAAGTGGGCGTCGGCCCTGCATTCGTTGCGAACGTTTTACATAATGAAACCTGATGCTCTCCTACAGCTTCATCTTTGGCATACTCGACTTCCCGTCACAGAGCGAGTGACGAGGACGGCTCGACGAGCCCCAAGAAGACCGTATGTGAACGCAGAGCGGAACACTCCTCAAACCGTAAGTGCTGGCCTCTGCTGATCCCTATGAAGCTCCTATCAGCTCTCCAACAAAGGCCTGAACCCCTGAATCTGGACCCATGAACCCTCCCGAAACCCTTTGGGTTCGCCTGCCAAAGACACCGCGCGCCAACCGGCCTCTACACCAAGGCGTGCGGCCTGGGAACCTTGGAAACAGGAGTCTGCAGGATCCAGATTAAAGCCTATAGGATTTTCTTACTGGTGCTTCAGGGCGAACCGGGCAGTGAATACAAGCAGTAGAGAAGCGGATCATGGGATAGTTGAAGGGTCAGTGTTAAAGGCTCAGGCTGGGGTTTTACGGTTGACCCAGGTCACCCGACGCATGTTAAACAGAGCTGTGACAATAGGGTCCAAAGAAGCGGGCACATGTACTGGTGTGGATTAATTACAGAAGCAGGGATTTGGGGCTTATGTATTGACTGCTTAGTAATAGTACTTTGGGATCTCGGGTCACAGGGGTTGAAAGTGCAATGTGCAGCTGATTCGTGCAACGGTTACAAGTTCTCTCGCACGACTCTAGGAGCTGCTGTAGCACGAAGCGGACTACGCTACCGTAGCGGCAAGGACACAACCTTTGTTGCATTTCTCCTTAAAAACTTCAGCACATAAACAATTGGAAGCCAAGTGCAGAGGTCAATGCACTACCCTTCGGGCAATAATACTGGCCACGGCATTCCCAGGGTTCTTCAAGTATGACATTGGAAAGCACTGACATCTTCATAAGTCTGGCGCCTAAATTGGGGTGCTGCGTTCCTTACTAGGCGGCACTCCAGAAACGGCATTAGTATAGGGGGGCTATATTGGGGTTATACAGGGGGTAATGGAAAATACAACAGAGACTACTACAGTATAGGGTTATATACAGCCCTGTCCCACCACGCACTCTAAGCCTGTGGCCGTCCGTGACGCCTTCTGCCTCTGAGGGCAATCATTGTGCAATACTGGCAATGCTGATGATTTCTCTTGTTCTGAAAACGCCAGATAGCTCCTATGCCGCGTATCAAGCACCAAAATGTCAAATTCCGGTGTGGCTGTATAGCCCAATATAGAAGAACTATCTGAGGGCATCAGGCTGCAGATGTGGTTGGTGCTATAACTGCACTATCCTTGTCACCATTGCGACTGCCATGGCTACTGCGTGTGCTTTTGAAGTTGTTGAGCCTCCAGGGTCTTGTTGAAGAGGATGCCAAGGGGCTGGGATAGATCCAGCTCCTGGTGGGCATTGCGCAGGCATGGAGACAGTGCTTCTAGAGTTCTAGTGGACTTTGCAGTAAACAGGAACTACATCGTATCTCTCAACATCTCAGCTGAAACACCGCCAAGGAGCAAGGGGAACCTCCCGCATGTTCTGACGGGCCTCAGGGCACGCCAGGAAATCTGCAAGAGATCAGCTACAGTTAGAGCTCTCTTGGACTGGCTCTATTGGGGCTATAGGGATGATGGAAAAGAAAATGGAAGCCACTATTATCATAGGGTATATATTAGTGTCATATACCGGAATAGTCACTACCCTTTGGCAGCGTGCCATCACGTCGTCCTTTCGGCAACACTCCCATGAGGTCAAATTCTGACTCATCCGGCCATTTTTTGAGTATTGTTGAAGGAAACATTAATACTTGAAGGGAGGGACGGTTGCATCAACTTGCTGGTAAGAGAAGATATGTGTAGGTCTGTCTGTATGTATGTATGTATGTATGTAGGTAGGTAGGTACGTACGTAGGAATCAGAATGCGTGGAAGTTATAGTAGCTATGCACATTAATAAGCTTTAAGCAAATGGCCTGGACAATTTCTCTGGTATCGGTAAGGTCCCTAAAGCATTCCCTAGAAATAACGTAGACATAACATGAAACTCCTGCATAGTACAATGCCTGTATAACTCCCGACAAAATTGTGAAAGACATCTGTAGCATGGCCATCCCCAAAACAGACCGATACGTTTATCGAATGTACACCCACAGGAAAACTCTGGAAAATCCTGAGCCCAAAGCATCCTAAACCCTAAGCCCGACCGAGAACAGCCAAGCACCGAAACCCTAATCCCTACACCAAACACCCTTAACCCGATTCCTAATCCTGAAAATAATTAAACCCCGAGTCCCGGATTCTCATCCCCAACCCCGAATTTGTGATCCAATGCCTCCTCTTCTTCTCTTGCAACCGTCGCCGCGCGCTCGCGCAGCATGGCTGCAGCATCCGCGGCAGTGCTAGGAGTTTTGACCTTCCCCCACCAGAACTTGTTCCCAGTGGGTCCGTGTATGCGTATAGCAAAAAAGGCTTCCCACACAGCTAGTTTAGATGTATTTACATGTAGTTTTAGGGGTTGTGGGTTTGGGCTGAGGGCGTAGGGCATCGGGGGCTTTCCAGTTTAGGGCTTGGGGGCTGTTTTCAGCTTTTAGGACTAACAGATTGGAAGTTCATATATAAGAGGTAATGGGCCTTTATAGTAGTCGCTAGCTAATCACATGCTGAATTGTCAAACCCATGGTCCCTTCCGGGCACCAAAACCCAAATTTCTGATGACCTCCATATCATCCCAATAGAATCTCTATCACGCATCCCGCCAATCCCAACTGAGACGAAAAATGAGCTTAGGTGCGGACTCGAGTTTTGCCCTTCGATAAGGGAGAAACCCCGACTCAGGTATGATATTTCTTCTAAAGAAGGGGGATCGACATGAATCCGCCGCGAATACCGCGACTTCTACCCTGGGACTTGCGTAAATGATTTCAGAAATTTCCACTCCGCAGAATAGGGCCATGGCGAAACCTTATTCTCCGGAAGGACATAGCAGGGTCGCGAGAGAAACTGGAATCTTGGGCTGATTCATGTCCTCTGAAAGTTAAAGGCCTGCACAGCACATCAGCTGCGATCTGTGTTAAGTACTCGTGTAACTCGCGGACAGTGGCTTAGCAGAAAAGCTGCAATGAAAGGTGGAACATGGTGGAAAGAGCAGAAGACTCGAAACCCAGGTCTGACGTGAAAACCTTACAACCCTGAACCTCAAAGTATTGAAAACACTCGTCCCCATATTAACCACGTTAAGCACTGCAATGAGCATTCTCACCGTACTGTCTAATTACCGGAGTGCAGCTTCAAATATCAAATCTTCCCTAAAAGGGCTCACAGGCCTCTGTTGCTGGAACCGCGGCGGGCTGAAACATCATCCTGGGGAAGACAGACGTAAATGGGAGGTTGGTGTCCAGCGTTGCGGGCATAGGGAACCCTGACAGTAGCAATTATAGTGTTTGTTGGAGGGTATGTGGGGAACTTTGAACTGAAACATAGGGGAGGGACTGGCGGGGCTGTAGCTGAGCAATCAGATCATTTTGAGGGAATCTCCGATATGCCACTTGGAAATAGGATGTGAAAGCATCATTCAGCAGGTGCTGCACGTCTGTGGCTTGCGGTGCTAATTATACAATCTCTCGCGGGACCGTAGGCTCCGTAAAAATGCCATAGACAGGAGATATGAGTCAGCTGCTTTCGTCATGCGAACTTCAGTATGACCAGCCTGCGCCATTAAAGGACGGTTGAGGTCAACGATACGGGCTTTCCGTGCAAGTACGGTCCCCAACACAAAAGCATGCTCAGCGTAGGCACTCAGAAAAAAACGGGTCTGAGACAAATCCTCATGTCTGAGTGCGAAGCTTTGGCTTGGCTCATTATTGCTTACTGGACCGGCTTCTGAGGCGGGTGTTGGCTGTGCGATGTGGCTTCTACAGTATGGTTGGCGTATGAACTGATACACCGCCTGAAGTTTTCTGAGCTATGGGAATCACATGGCTCTGTGTATCGTCGGAGCTGCTGGACTTCTTCCTTTGATAGACCCGCCTTCTGCAATGTCTGAGAATTGCAGCATACCACCGCTACACAGAAGTCCATGCTCCGCTGTCATGTGTACGCGCTGCATATGAGAAGCAAAAGTGCCAAGCTGAAAGCCAGCGTAGAATGGGGCCCTCAAAGTACAATTCACGAATTCTACGCGTCTTATAGGGATACTTCGTAAATATGTACAAGGGTCTAAACTCATTCCAGGTACTACTTTCTGGAGACTGGTCTAGGATGAGACAGTATCCAACCCCCACCTTGCCCTGCTGCAAAAAGCCTCCACCTCTCTCAAGTTCGTGATCCGAAGCACAGTTGGGCTTACTACATGCTATCGTCCTGTTCTTCAGATCTCGTTCATTCTAAGGTATATTTGCGTAGCCCCTCCCCCCCACTCTTCCAGAAATCTGCGTATGTACGTGGTTCTGTATATGCACATCAAGGTGTATGCATGTATATGCATACTTACCTGCACGTGTATTTACGGGTATATGTAGTTGAATGTTGCGACACCCGAAAACACTGCCAGTACGTGCTAAAGCCTCATGCATGCGTAAGGCTGACACCGATCATGAAAGAACAGCATTCCTCAAATCCTTCGCCGCTCAGCAACCTCTTCTTTGAACATAAGCAAACCTACACACACAGACACAGACAGACACACAGACGGACAGACAGACAGACAGACGGACAGGGCCCCGCTTCCCTCTCTACAGTCTACAAAAATTGCAGGTTCCTTTCAAGTTTAAAGGATGGATCGATTTACCCGAAGAAGCCGGTGACTCTTAAAGCCGTGATGCGACTGTCCGAGGCAGCCTTCGGCTTTGAGGGCCTTGCCGGGGGCTGAATACAAGTTGCAGGTTTGGGATCCAGGGTTAGGGCCGGTTAGGTTGTAGGGTGGAGTGTGGGGGTAGGATTTGGGATTAGGGTTTGGGTTCGATGGTCAGGCTTTAAGGGTTTGGGTTTCAGGGTTGGGGTTGGGGTCGCGTACGCCGGGGGTTTGTTGCGCAAAGGTACCCTGACGTTAGGATCATAGATGTAGAGTTTGGGGCTCAGGGTTTCTCAGAATAAAGATGCCCCAGGGTCCCTATGGTTAAAGAGAGAGATAGCGAGAGAGAGAGAGAGAGGGAGAGAGAGAGAGAGATGCATATGTATGTACAATGTACATATATAGACTGACCACATACACGAGGGCAGCAACTGTGGACAGTAGCAACGAAATTTGAACCGCGCCTGATGTTTCTACAAGACCATGTGTTTCGCACGCGGGCATGACGGAACGAAGCTGCGAAACCTACCACCCCCCAAAGACAACTTAGATACAAAAAGCCAGCAAAGCCGCGGACCCAACCTCTTGGTTTTTAGATGTGCGACCTAATGTAAGGGCCAAATCTAGGGCTTGAAGTGCAGGCTTTAGAGTTTATGTTGGCGGTAATGGAGTTTCAGATTCGGGGTGTCGGTCTGGTCATTGCAGTAAGCACTTTCAACTCCTTAGCCTGTTTTAATTCGAGCCTCGACACTGAACCCCTCAATTTCACGATGCTTGCCGCTCGCATCTTACAAAACTCTTAACTGCACGCCCCCAAACAAAAGCTGGCCCTCAACAAAAACTCACCAACAACTCCAAGCCCATGCCTCTCAAAATCCTCTAGTCAGCACGCGCCTCCAGGCGCTTCTCTAACTCCTGCACATCCTTCACCTCCTCGCCGGCCAGGCCCAAAACCTCGCAACGAAACCCACGCGCCACTGTTCGGACATCTTGTTGGTGCACTTCAGGAGCCCCAGTTTTAGGAGTTGGGGTTGGTTTCGGGGTGTAAGGTTTCGGGTTTTTGGGATTTGTTTCCAAGGCTTGGGTCATACTGTAATGTACTTGGCTAACTGGTTAACCACTGTTCAGAGGCGGACCCTAAACCCATGCATCCGTCTTTTAGTACGGGCACCAGCACTATTCTGCCTTGAAGATCCTCATGTGAGAGTTATACACGGCATTCTATCGGGAATGCAGCAGGCTTAGAGTCTCGAGTAGTGATGGGCCATCTGTCGGGCACCAACTGCATTCCACAGAAAAGAGGGCCCATTCTTTTTGGATGCCCGTCAGTGTCCTGAAGTAGTAGTCATGACGGCGTGAAGTTTAGAAAAGGGCAGTTCTGAGTACAGTCGATCAGTGCTAGTGCAAGTCATGACAGTGTTGGTTGGGAAAATATTGCACCGCTAAGTGCCCTCAATATGTTGAAGTTCCGGTCGGCATAGGATAATATGGCACTCTGATCAAGACACTCTCGTTTATAGGTGTTTCGGCCTCAGGTTAAGGAGCTTCAGGCCATTGAAATAGTGCGGTTTGGGTTTGTGGCCCAAACAGAATTCAGATCATCCCAACCCCGTTCCCTTTCAAGTCAATCGTGAGCCCTGAGAACCGCGGGAGCATTGAAGAGTCTCTTCTACTAGTTGTGCCAACCAATGCTGGCGGGAGGCAGGGTACCCTAGATTATAAATGGCGTGCCGCGCTTGTAGAGTTTCACAGAAAGTGTGTGCGGGGTAGTGATGCAAGTGCTCCCCTCTTTCGCAACAAGGGTCCTGGCATGTCCCTAAATCTGTTAAAGACATCCTCGAGAAGACAACAAAAGCGCTACCCATGACAATCCCCCCGTACGGTCTGAAGACTGCTGGGTAACAGGTCCCATCTGGTGAAGGTACAGGATCTCAAAACTCTGCTTCTTTTCAGGCATTCACCTACCAACCTGCCTCAAACCCCAATCCACAAACCCGCAAAAGCAATCCTGGGACCCTACACCCTGGCGCCTCCCAGCCAGGGCCGATTCCCAGCCGAGCAGCCTGCGTGTATGGTGAAAGGTTTAGGTAAAGGTGTCAGGCCAAGCTTTAGGCTTCAGGGTACACTCCAAATCCAAGGCTAAAACTGTCAACGGGACGAGCGTGATAAGGATCTGTCGCGCCATTTTTGGTCAATCGTTTTTAATTTATTGACCCAACATCCGACTCAGCATGCGCTGCACTCACAAGGGAGCACGAGCTCCGGCAACTTCACATTCACATACACTTCTTGCGCAGATCTGTGTGCTGTTCAGCAGCATGAGCAGTTAACGAGAGCTAAGTGCCCTGCCCCAAACTAGAATGGAAGCCCGAGAGTATCCCCTCGTAGGCTACTGCACGTAAAGAAGAGGACTACATGGGTTCCATGTTGGTTTGGGAGACGAAAAGAGGCCTCAAACAACCTGGGCCCCCCTTCAAAAGGGACATTTGTGCGCTTGCATTTTTGTGGGAAAAGAAAACCAGAAGCCAGCAGCTGCGCCATGTGCCCACGCAGCTAGCTATGCCGAAGCCACTAGGTACGTACAATAAGGGGGGCTCTCAGAATGCAAAAACACAGGGGCTAGAAGAAGATTACAGGGTCCAAGCGAGTAAATGTATAGGAAATGTTTTGGGAACCCGCCCGATGAAGCAATCTCAGATCCCTGTCCAAAGGAGGCAGCATCGCATGGCTGCAAATCGGTGGAGCCACCAATCCAGTTCCCCAATTACATATAGGTTCTGAGGGGCTGTCCATCAGGTTTTGACAAATTCCTATACAACTGCAGTATAAGTTGAATTCAAGCAGTGAGGTCAGGCCTGTGAGCCAGGCTTCACATTCTTGACCACGAGGCTGGGATACCAGATGATGCCCAAAGGCTGGGACCTCACAGGCACTGGTGCGGGGTAGACGGAGATGCCTTGCGGGTTTGGAGGCCTAGATGTTGTAAGAGGCACTCTGATTTGTGGCACGCCTCTGGAAAAGCTGTGGGCGCGTGAGCCCTTCAAACCTGGATGACATGCTCGCGGCAGAACAATGACGCGCAAACACGAAGGCCGCATAGAGAAACAACGTCGCCACTGGCCCCCCAACCCCACCGCAACATCCAGCTGCCAAAAAAAAGGCCTATGCAATTTGACAGCTATGCACAAGGATTTAGGTAGAACCTACAAGATTAACAACTGCAATCATCGAAGCCCAACAGCAAACCCTGACTTTCACAAGTCCTACATCAAGTTCAGCACGGGACAGAACCCTGAGTAAAATTATGCTGGGATCCGGGCAAGTCTACTTCGATGTCGCACGGCGGCGGCACCACCATGGGTACATTGGGGTCGCCTGGGTGGAAAGCATTCAGGGTGGGCACATGCCCAGCATATCTCCAAAAGGCTTTTCATTGTGAACCTTAACAACTCTAGTTATAGAAGCAAGGCCATCATATAATGTTGACGGATGATGATGGCAATGATGAGGGGAGGAAGCTAATGTTTTATCTTTAGCATTATTGCTAACTAGTTTTTATTAATACATTCTTCTTCTTCCTACCGAAATTACTATTGTTACTTTTCGTGTTCTTGCTATTATTCCTCTAAGCCAAGGCGCGAGGCGGAGGCCGCGGCGCCTCCTCCTTCGGCGCGGCGATGACCTCCTTCTCCTGTGACATGGGTAGTTCCCAAGAGGAAGGGTTTAGGGGTTTGGGGTTTAGGGGTTTAGGGGTTTAGAGGTTTGGGGTTTAGGGGTTTGGGGTTTAGGGGTTGAGGGCTTGGGGGTTTGGGGTTCAGGGTTCAAAGGGTAGTTCCCAAAATACAGGTCCCATTTTGGTACCCTTAAACTCTAGGTGTCGTACTATAATCTACAAGCAGAGAGGGGCAACATGTTTGAGAACAACCCACATGCTGGAAAGTACTAATGTGGTATGTCTCTGTCTGCACCCAAAAAGTGATCTTAGCTGTTGATTGGCGGGGTATACTAAGCCACAAATAAAAACCATGCTCAGGAAACATCTAGATTTAGGATTTAGGGTTTGGGGCTCATAGTAGGGCTTAACATGCTGGTGGTTGTTCGGCAGTGCAATATGGATTTGGGGCTTAGGGTTGGGCATTAGGGGTGAAGGCTTAGTACGGAACAGAGGAATAGAGTCCTTGAAAGTCTTTCTAATATGCTATCTGACAATGATTGATCCCCACAACCCACTCCTTCATACGGCCAACCCACCAGAAAGGTCTGCAGTCTAAACTGTCTGGGCTCAACCAGGCTTAGAGCTGAAAGGCAAACGGCCTAGGGTTCAGGATTTGAGGTCTTGAGCTGAAGGCTCAGCATTTGCAGCGGCTGCAGGTACATGTTTTGGGGATCGCGGCCGAGGGTCCAGGTTTAGCTTCACTGGCTGTTCAAGGAAATGGTCACCATAATGGTAAATTTAGAGTCCAGATATCTCGACTCTTCTGGAATCCGTGGTTTAAGTTTAGGAGCATGTGAAGCACTACCCTCTTTCTACTTTAGGAGGTCCTCTAGATCTCATGCCTGAACATTCCATACTGCGCCCTGAACACTGAACACTATGTAATCCAGAGCTCCCTCAAAGAAGCCTAGGATTCAATGACATACAGCTCCCGCATGTGTTGGACTGCCGGATAATTCCAAGACTGCATTGGATCTCTCGCGCTCTATCTCAACCATATCTACAGACAGCCAAAAGTCGTGAAGCACAAAGCCGCTGCAGTCAAGCCACTTCTTCAGGCACATGCCTGCGCATGGGAGTTTCGAGGGACTCTGGGAGTGTTGTAGGCTAAAAGTCAGGGGTGGTAGGGGTACCCTTAGGGATCATGTAGGGACGTCGTGATAAACTCTGAAATCTTTTGGCTTTCAGCTCCCCACTGGTGATGTATGAGGTTTTGGGTGCAGCTTAAGTCATCCCATTCTCCTCGAAAACCGTGTTGTGCCCCACCTCCCTATTTTAAAGCGTCGTGCAGCTTTGGGGTTTACTGGGTTGCTGAGCCACTAGAATATTTTGTATATAGTAATAAAGCTCCTTCACAGCAACCCAGTTTGGGGTTCATGGCTGACTCCCTTCCCCACCATCCGTTAACCTTGACAATACCTGGGCCTCAAACTCACGGGCCTCATGTGCACCAACCAAGCACCAGGATCCTAATTTTAGGGACATATGACAGACAGCCAATCCCTAAACCCTCAACCCTAAGCCCGACTTGCTAGAACATGTTTTGAAAAACCCAGGCATACCCGACCATAAGCCCTATGGACCCCGTAAGCTCCTTTACTAATACATCCCCGGCGGTCTCTGGCTCCCAACTCAGCCCGGATGCTGAATCATGCCCGCCACGGTGTTTGGCATGCCTCTGGCCTGCCTGGCTAGCAGATAACAACATAGGGCCGAACAAAAACATGATAGTGTTCAGGGCTTCGGGGTTCAGGGCTTCGGGTGTGGAGCTTTGGGGCAAAAAACAATTGGATTGAATAGTAGAAAGCGACATGGAAAATTCAACGGATCGTGCAGTGCTGCAGCATTTATAGAGGGACTGGTGCAGGAAGTGTAGTGTAGGTGCCTACACGATCAAAATAGGGCTTTGGGATACATTCGACTGATATGCGAGGCCTGCTAGGGAAACATGCTTGCTGAAACCAATTTTCTGGGCTTTCTAGGGGCTTGCCGTGGATTCGGGAAATCCTGCAGCACCACCCACTGTACCCTGCTTGTCAGTTCCACCCTTTGCACCAGTACAACGTATGAGCTGTCCCTTAATAACCCTTATAATACTCCCCTGTATACTCCCCTGAAGAAGCCCCCTCTAAGGAGTTTAGACTATAGCGGCTTCCGGCTGCTGGCTCAGGAGCCACGGGCCCCTACAGATTCACAGGCTGTTGCAGCAGCTCTATGAAATCGTCCTTGAATTGAGAGAATATGTGCATTGCGGGTTCCGGCAAACAGCCAACCGTACACTTTTACATGAGGCAGGGCGTGGTAGCTCACTATTATCCCATGAGCAGATCCTGTATGGTAGATGACTTGGAAAATTCCTTCCAAGTCTGCTATGCTGTTTAGGTATCCAGGACCTCTCAGACATGTTTTGACGTCCCGGGCCACCCGAAAGTCGGAACCCTCACGCATTGTCGGCCGGCTGTTCCAGAGAGCACGCTGTAGATCCAATATGCCCGGTATGCCCATAGCTATACCACCTGGCATGCCTAGAAGGTGAAAAACAAGATATGATTACGATTCTACTTGACATTCTGTAGGCTCAAGAAGCAAAACGACATGAGCATGGGTCTCTATGCAGCTGCCCTCACCTGTAAAAAAATCAATGCCAAGTCCCAAGATCCTGACTCATAGGCTATTGCGGCTACTGGGAGACGCACCGTGCTTCTCTTCACCCGTCAGCACCAAGACCCGGAACCTGGTCATAAGCAACGACCTGTAAGCCTGAAATACAAGCAACACTGGCGAGCTGCTCAAAGTGAACGGATACGGGCAGATTGACCTCGCAGGTGTTATAGCAAGTGCATATTAAATACATACTCGGGGTCTACCTCAGTGGGGTCCCCGGTGCAAGTGTACACTGCGTGGATGCCCTGGGGTCCTGGTGCATGCGCTTGGCAGGCTGTTGGACCAAGTCTCATGGATGAAGGAGGGATGCTAAACAAGTTACCAGTGAGGAGCCTGAAGCCCGGATCAGTGGATAGCTGCAACTGCGGTCCTACAGTAGATAGAAGAAATCTTGCACCTCCTTGTATGCCTTGTAATTACCTGGGAGGTCTCTTACGTGCTGTAAGATTTCCCGCGTCCACCCTGAACCCCAAGTGCAATGTTTGGGAAGGGGGAGCAGCAATGCCAGGGATAGCCCTGGACCTTGAATAGGAAATCCCGCAGGTTTGCCAAAACGACCTTCTCAAGCACACGCTACCTAGGGCTTGCATCAGCGGTCCGGTTTTGGGAGTCGTTTTCGCGAACAAAGATCATAGTCTTTCAGGGTGCGTGCGGGAGATCCCCGTTGCTTGCGGCTCTTTGAGCAGAATGTTTTCCTGACGATGATGCTTACGAATGGCTAGCTTGCTTTGAGAGCCTGACTGGACCGTACGACTAACAGCGACACTTGACTAACAGTACAAGTCATCAAACATAGACGAGGCTGACACAAATAATGACCACGGCAATAGTGCAAACGGAAATATGCAGAATGGCATGGCAAAAACATGGTGCGACGTGGATAGGCTGCATAAGTAGTAGGCAATGAGTGTGAAGCCTGGCAACACACGGAAGTTTGCAACACGGTTAATAACAAACTGAGTGCAGTCGCTGCACATCACAACAAACCAGCAGCAGAATACTGAATGGCGCCCTATTTACTTTTTAGATCTGAGTGGGGCACCTTCTTGGAAATGCGCAACCGCTTTTCTATGCTTGACGAAAGCCTTGCCCCACCATGTGCGAGCAAACAGCAGGCCTCCTTGAGCATGTCCCTGACATGCTCAATGCGGAGGGAACTAACTTCTGTGCCACCTGAGCTCATAGAAAAAACTTCTGGCCCAGCTCTTGGAGCGCGCTAGCGCAACAACATAACCAATTACGACAGACTGGCGTGTGCGAGCAGTTGGTTCTTTGATGGCAAGACCAAGTGCGACTCCGCCTTTTGGATTGCTGCTCACATGGCATGATGAAAAATGCAGGTTTCCTACAGGAGGCACTTACATCCTTCCCAATGGCCTGTATGCCCTCCTGACGCTACGCAACTAATGCTTGACTGGAACAGGCAGGTTCTCCAGCGCAGCTAGGCCACCAATGTTGGCAACGATTGCGCCAGGTCTGATGCCTCAACATGGGCTTCCGCAGACAAAGAATGCTAATTTGGCGCGATCCAAGCCAGGAAACGCTTCATTGCTGCTTGCGTGTCGTGTACGGGCTTGGAAAATTGGACCTATCGTTTCAAAAGAGCTCACCTCTATCCTTCTAGATCTCTTACCCATGGCATGCCTCTTACGTATGGCATGCCTGACGTGAACGAGATCCGAAACCCGAACTGTGGACGTCTAGCAGAGACTGCTCTCCATTCAGAACGTAAGCCTGTGCGCACTCCTGCTACCTAACCCTAGTCGTTCCGGACTGGGAGCCTTGAATGCTTCTGCAGACTTTCCTGACACGTGCAATAACCAATCCCATGATACTTCCTCACATCCCCATCTCCCAATTCCCGGAATAGCTTCTGCACCCAAACCCAGGCTTGGAACCCGCAGCCCAGTCATCAACCGCTTCATCTGCAGAAGCTGAAGCTTTTCAGTCCAACCAATTCATCCCGAATATCCCTGTCTCGGACCATCCCGAAACCCCTGGGTGTGCCTCGGAAGAGACGTAACCCTCACCTGAAGTACAGGATGGAGGATGGGGCATTGCCCTATCATCCTTTCAGAAGAAGTCATTCAAACATCAGCCCAATTTTTGTTCGTGGAGGCGGGGAGCATACTCCCACAAGCTTACTGCCCTTTGGGCCCAAGTCCCTAAATCATGTATCCTAGCCGCGAAAGTATCAATATAGGAACACATTGCTGTGGAAAGACATACATATACTCGAACCTTTTGGCAACTCAAGGGTGGCTCAAACCCTCTGCTGTCATTGTTGCCATATGCGCGGGCCACGCCAGTTGAGCTGGAGACATGTACCAGTCCTTGGTGCTTAGTGGAAACGATTGTGACATCCAGAGTACGGGGTTCCAGTGCAGGGTTTCCGGCTAGGGTTTTGAATTAAGAAATGGACAAAAAAATGGCAAATGCCATAGTTCTGGGGATAAGGTGGGAATTTCTCTTTTCTCTTTGCGATGATGTACGACGGCGTATGATCTAAGACATATGGGTCGCGAAGTCACCTTTCTCCTGCGGGAAATCCAAGACAAGACATAGTTGATTGGCTACCTGGGTTTCATTACCTTGCTCGCCTGTTCTTTCAAAATGGTTTAGAGCGGGGAGTTGGGGCATGCTCGCTGTGGTAAAAGCCCGAACACCGGGTTGATGTTGTTGGATATATTAAGAGGACCCAATCTGAGAAACGACCCCTGAGAATGCCTAATCGGCGTACTGCCTGCACAGAGAGCAGCATCATGTGAAGACTGGCTTCTACCTGTTATTTTGCTGATAGTAAAATCCCTGCATAGCTCTGAGTACTTTCAGCCCTGGAAATTCTAAAATTCCAGTACACTGGAATTCTGTTTACAGTCATGCAGGATTTGAACACCTCAGCAGTAGTGATGTGAAGATGGGACAGACGAAGCCAGGCGGCTGGAGGCTGGAGGCACATACTGCAAGTCTTTTGGATGTCGTTAAGACTAGGGTGAGGGATTCCCCATAGCGGAACATGTTACATGTACAATACCGCCAGGAAGAGACAGCCACTTGCAGCAAGCCTGGAGACTACGGTGTGCTCTCCACCGACCATACCATCTTTCAGCTGAGACACCCAGCTCGGAATCCTCGTCTCAGGCACGATTCGAGCTTCAAGTTCATTAAAGGTTCAGCACAGGTACGTGCTAGAGGCGACATCTGCATGAGATTTGTCCAACATGAGATCCATTGTTATGATCCTTGAGCGAGGTAGCCCTTTTGTTTCCCTCTCCAAGCGTCGAAACTATGGGATAAGCCGAACCTTCATTACAAGTTCAAGAACCACACACCTCTCCACCCTGAATGAATCCTAAATCTCCACTGTTACCCGTTGTTAGCGGCATAGTTTCTCGATGTAACGTTCTTACTGTAACTCAGGTAATATGTACTTCCCAAATTACAAATGCGAAAAACCCAGACAGTAGGTGGTGGAAGTACATGGGGCAGACAAGATAGAGGCAAGCGGGGACGCGGGCTCAGAAACCGGGTCGAGGACTTCCACATGGACAATGAAGTCTTTTGGGTAAAAGGGGGTAGGTCCAGGCCTCTAAGTAGAACCCTCTACTATTGTCTCTTTGATAACTGATTTTTTATGTGATTCCTATGCATTAATTATACTGTATCCTCCCATACTTCTTGGTATACGCTCGTATTATTCATGCCCACTATTTCCCGCAAAAAGATAGGATTCCTTGGATAGAACCCAGCTTGGCCCAGTCATTTCTTTGCATGCAGCCTGATATTTCTGCAAATTATGCCTGTAGTCACCTCCAAACTACGAGTACGCCATCTACGTTTCCCTGAGCCTTAAGATGAACTAAACTTGGGCCTTCGCCACGGTGAAGCCCATCGGCCGCTTCTCAAAGCTGGCGACGATGGGCGGCGGCGAGAAAACGATCGCAACTTCCTTCAGTCCCTGCCGGACACGTAAAGCAGCTTTATCCCACAGAAGGGTGAGAGATTAAACCTACTTGTTTAAGCTTTGACATTCTTGCTTACATGCATGAAGATCTTTCTTTTGTCGGGTTCTGTTCGTCCTTTTGCGAGGGTATGATGTCACCTGGTACGGGCGTGGGGGACCCCAATCCCTAAATCGTATGTCCAGGAAAGCTTTTAGGACCAGGGCATGTCTGGATTTCAGGTTAAAAGTTTCGGGCTATCTCTTGGAACAACGCAAGTGCCTGAGGTTCCAGAATAAGAGCTGCAAAAGCTTGTGGACTGCAAAGGGGGAGTGCTTTTAGTAAGCTGTTTATCAAGTGAGCCCGATCATTAAGAAAACATAGCTACACAAGACTGAGAACTCAAAAAACATGCAATCCAACCATAACCAACCTCTCATGATTTCGTGGGAAGACGTTCACCAGTTCCTCATACCTCATGATAAGCATCCTGCAGCTTTTGCGCCAAAAAGGAACGCCGAGCTTGCAAAACCAGAAAGCACCTCGATAAAAAAAGATCCTCATTATCTCTGAGGCCCCTTTCCTCCGGTCAGTACTCTCCCTGGGGTCGCGAGGCTAAAGCCCTACACCCCATACATCCTCCTAGCCCACCTAACAGGACCAAAGGGACCCTTATGGTAGGGAGCCCTTTTTTTGGGAAAGGCTCATGTCCCACCTGTGAGATGAGCTTGGCCATCCGGTCCTGCCAGGAAGTCAGGGCTCCGCGCGACGAAGGGGGGTAGATGCCTTAAGTCAAGGGCTACAGGGGTTGGAGAATCTCAACACCTTGAATCCTATCGGGGGCCATGGATCATGCTTTCTGGATTGTGTGGCTCAAGCCTCCAGGAGCTGCTCGTGATTTGGGCTGCGTATTGCTGTTCTGGCCTACCTCAGGGTTCAATGCTTCTTTGACATCCTGTCCTTCGTTCCTGCCTTGCTGCTGGTGGTCTCAATTTCAGTTGAGTGCACAAACACGGCAACTGGTCACACGACCTCAACCAGGCCAAAGAAGGCCTAGGAGAGCAATTAGCGCCTAGATCACAACAGAACAGAACAAGGTTCAGTGGGGTTCTAGAAGTCGAACACAACACTCCTGTACAGCCCCAACAAAACCCAAACACCTAAACCTAGGCTCCTTGAGGTCCGTGGTCTTCTGCACTTCCATACCACCCACAGATCGCACACGCCAGTTGGGGCGAATTCCCAGAGCAAAGCCCTGGCCATCCTGGATGGGGAATGTATATGCATGTCGATAGAGTTTATATGGCTTAGTGGTGAAATTTGGGGAGGGGGGCCTTTGAGAGATTCTCTCGTCTCTGCTTTGAGAAACTACCACATGGAACTGAAAAAGGGCTCTGCAAAACAGTGTCCCGCGAAGTTAAGCTGTCAATATGGGATTCCATAGCTGACAGGGGAGACCAGCCGTGTTTGCATTGTTCTCTTGCTCCTGAAGTAGATACGTCGTCGGGCATCATAATAAAATCTCAACGTCTGAGTGCATAGAGATTCTATCTACTTAGGGATGACAATACGTAAAGTCTGGACTGCCCAGCCATGAGAGTTTGGGGTTTGGGGTGGCAGTAAACCATGAGAAAGCTCGAGCTCCCCGAAAAGTCCGACACCCTGCCTCATGATATGACACCCCATAAGCCCTGATCGTGGGGTGCAAAGTGTGAACCGCGAGCCGTCCTCCTGCACAGTTTTCGTGACCAGAGTGTCGTTAAACCTTGGCTGTCCACACGGACGAGCTACCAGACAAAGCAGCTATACTATGTCATCATTAAGTACACCCTTAATCTCAAGTACAGTCTGGATCTTCGTTCCTTTTAACTTTAAAACTATTTGGCCCTGCCAAAAATATCTCTTGCTGCGAAGGCACACGCACCCTAGCGGTCTCCGCAAATCGACAATGACTGTGATGCCTGGCAGGGAGACACTGGGATTCAAGCTTGCCAGAAGAGGGCTTCAACCATCCTCCTCCAGCACATCCAAGATGACAGCTATGCAAAGACCAAGCTTTACAGAAGGGCTTCACATTCATGGCGCAGCTGCCCTCCACAATGACCAAGTTTGCCAAGGGTACCCCAGCCTCCTAATCAGTACACTTGCCATGGTAAGGTCAGTTCTAAACCTGGCAATGAACTCCAAAGAGGGTCGAAGAGCTAAACTACAACACAGAACAAGTCTTGAAGAGCGCAGCTCCCCTTAACTATCTAGGTCGTTCTCAAGACAGAGGCCCCGACACTCAGAAAGCTTTCCTCGTCCTTATTGATAGGCACAAGAGGATCATTTCTACGTGCCCATGGCGCCTAGGGAAGCCTATGGCCTCGTCGGTTGCAAATAGCTGTGGCGAGCACTACGTGCTTGCACACATGGTCACCGTCAAGCAGAAAGAATGTTGCGGGGATACTGGACGCGTTACGATTTTCGCAGTTTCAATTTTCCAGATACCTGAGGATAACTGTCGACTCAAGAAAGCGGAGCCAGTATTGGCTTGTGTACAACTAAGCGAATTTCACTATGTCATGACGGGGTAGTAGTTGGCCAGAGTGAAAACTTGGCAGGCCCAAATGCCAAACCCTTGTTTTTGTTTGAGGGAAAAGCTTCCAAAAGAAGATCAATGCCATTCGTGCTGTTGAGATGGCCCCCGCTGCCTCGTGCCAACTGATCCACCGTTGCGCGCAGCATGCCCTGCACATCATGGAACTGGGTGGGCAAATAATTCGAATGACGTTCTGGGCTGCAGAAGGCTATGCTACAAGGGCTTTGGGGGAGTCATTTCCTGACTGGTCAGATTTGCACTATACAAAATGAAGGCGTTTACGGTTTCGAAGAGCTATAGCGCCCAGATAGCTTCCTGCCGGCAAGGACACACAGAAGCTGCATTTGGACATCATGGGGAAGATAGCTGATAAGTTTCAGGAACTGATGCTGCAGTTTCAGACCTGAAGTCCGGAGCATGAGATTAGAATCCCATAGCAGGGACTGCTTTGACGGAATCATCTACTAGTAGATGCACAAGAAATACATTGTCACAAGACGCCCACATAAGTTCCAGGCTAGGGTAAGCATTCCATCAGCATGCACACGTCTGCTGCAGACTGTGGCACGGGCTAAGACAAGGCATTGACCAATGGCTGCAGAATGACACCATCACTTTCATACAGGCTCTCAATGAAGTCCTCTTGTTGTCACCTCCACCCTACCCCCAAGCTTGCGCTCAGCCTCAAACAGGCCGACTCCAGAACTGGAACGCGCATAATAGTCTTGATGAAATCTTGGAAATGAATCAGGAAGCCTCTTAATCAACTTTCTGGTGCCTGGTACAGTAGGGGAGCAAGGAGCGTATAGGGACGGCTGACCATTGCAAGGCATTGTATTGGTACTGCTTCACGGACTCATGTCTCAACTCCTTACTAGCCAAGTAACATTGAACCTTTGAACCAAACCGTCATATTGAAATTCCGAAGCGCGCCACTCTGTGAAACTGCCTGCCCGTGCCCCGGAACAGACGAACCCTGAACTCAATCTCCCTAAGCCCTGAACGTGAAAACGTCAACCACGCAACCCACCTTGGTGACTTCTGCGCTGAGCCTCTTGGCCTCCAGCTCCTGCTCCTTCCTTCAGGCCAAGGTTGGTTCGGGTGTAGGGGATGTAGAGCTTCCCCAATTTTGTTCTTTAGGGTTTGGGGTTCCATGGAGATGTGCACTTTAAAATTCAAGGCTATCCGCCCAGATCCCAGAGTCCTGTAGTTAACTGAAACGGTACGGGATCCCCACTATCCGTATTTGCTCCCTACAGTATTAATTGAGGCCTCCATATTTCAGGGTTGTCCTAAACAATTCTTT